GAAAGAAAAAAAATAAAAGGAAGGGCTTTGGCTATGGGGAGATGCTTACTGAAGCGCGGAGTGGAGACACCGACGCTGAGTCGCCCTTGGAGATAGAGAAAGCTTACAGAGGGAGAAGAAAGAGAGGAAGCATTAGGTTACGTGTTTTTTTTTTTTTTAAAAAAGCTTTTAATATATTTTTATTATTAATAGTTTAATAAAGGGACAAAGCTTTACTCTTTCCAAAATTAAAATTAAAATATTATCCCATTCACAGCCTGAGTTTGATTCGGTTTTTAATTGATAAAAATAATCACTTAAAAAAAGATCAGTTTATTATTATTATTTTTTATTTGATTCAAATAGGGTTTTTTTTCTTTCAAAATCAGTTTTTGTATCAGATTCGTAGAACACGGATATAGCAAGTCATTCAAATAGTCAGTGCTTTACATTCTTCACATGAAAGAAACTTCCTGTTTTATATCAGAGTCTGCAAACAGAGGTGACGAAGCAGTCATTCCTCTCATCAATGGAACACAGAGAGATTTCAATGGCGGATTCTCTCACTCACTCTTCATCAAGACTAGCAATTTCACAGCCCCGAGCCTCTCGGATCCTGCTTTTACCGACGCAGGAAGACGAGCGAAACCCGTGCAGAAAGACGGGAAAATTTAGCCTCGGCCCTCATGAATTGACGGAAAAGGAAAGGATTGAGACAAACTTCAAAGTTACCGTTACGAGGAGCTTTGGAGGAGCTGCTGCTGCTGATGAACCCATTCTTCATAATCTTTCATCAGTTGCTGAAGCAGCAAAGGCACCAATGAATCTATCAATGTCTGCATCACTCTGCCATTACCATTCCTTCTTCAGTACACACAAAAGAAGTTCGAGGCATGAAGGGAGATTTTGTAAAACAGACTCTCCATCTGTCACCATTTCGATCGATTCTTATACGTTTTCCACGTTCCTTTCCGGATATAAACAGTGTTTCTTCCGATTATACTAGCAGCAAGCCAGGAGGAGAAAACGGATTCTCGTGAAATTAATACGGTCTACTTACAGATTTCCCGGTAACTCCACCGCGGACACTGGAAGCATCGTGAATGGCATTGTGGAAATCTGCCAGGAACAAGAAAATCGTCATGAGTGAAAGACGACGAACTTTCTACCACAGTAATATCTGACCCAGAAGCTTATACATCTAGACAAGTTCACGGTTAAAATCATTATAGAATTATCCGTATACACGTAAAACTGATGAATTGCAAAATACCCATCAGGAGTATGTGAGATAGGAAACACAATACACGACCTCGAGGGTAAGATCTAGCTTTACGTCGACTTCCAGAAACGGATCCGGATCACCAATGCCCCATGTCATGTGATTTATCATAACAGCTACAAACAGAAAGAGAATTGAGAGATTTCATCAACTTTAGGAGCATAACAACTTGCATTGGAAAACTGCCAAACTCAACCGGTTTGATTACATTACCCGAAAAGCTGTCACTCTGGCTGTTCAAAATCTCCGAGCCTTCCAACTGTTAAGACGTTCGTTTCAAACTAAGCAGCCGTGAAGAGAAAGGGATGCCGAACTATAAGGATTCAGTTTCAGATTGATCGTTCACCTTGCAAGAAAGAAGCTCAACTGTACAAGTCTGATTCATTGGGGTGACCCTTAAGTCCACCACAGGAGCAGCTTCAAAGCTTAGAAGCTGAATTTTAGGTAACCTACATCTGCACTGCAAATCAAAGATTCACTCTCTCTCTGTCTTTTTCCTCAAGCATAAGCCTTTACATAGAACTTTCGTTTGAGATTCATATATGTTCTGTCTCCAAGCAAATCAATGAAGATCTTGAGACTTAAAATCAGACAAATAACCCAAAAAAGTCGACTTATGAACAACGTTCATGTCTTCAAGAACAGACAGTGAGAAGAGTAAACCTGTAAGTATTATCACCAAGCGAATGATAACTCTGCAAGGCATTAACGTTGAGGACAGCCTCCATGCCTGACGGGTGATTCAGAAACTCACCGAAAGCCAGTTTCTTTCCTTCATTAACATCATCTTCAAGAGGAATCGGCAGCTTAATTCTTTGTTTCTTTGAAGCAGACAGATTTGCTTTCTTGGAGCTAGAAACCGGTATTAATCTCGTCTTCTGAGCATTACCCATTTGAATTCTCTTCCTGAAACAGAGTTTTTCGCCGATCGAAACGCTAAAGTCGAGAAATTTGGGAGAAAAAGACACGGAGATCGAAGAAACAAGTACCTGGGGATGGAGGAAGAGTTGATAAAACCCGGAAAATGGCCCTCCGAAGACGATGCAACTCTCCATCCATTACCAATTCCAATATCCATCCTCCGATTTCTGTAACTCGAAGATGAAGATCTAAAAAATCAAAAGGAATACCGCAGAACCCTAATGGTCTGGATTACAACAGGAGCTGCTGTGAAGGAGCAGAACAACTCATGAATCTCGTAAACATTTTCTCGTTCATAGAAACAGCCAGAAAGTTGTCTGCCATTGAAGGAAGAATCCGGTGGACAACGTCGATCGAGCTTCCGCGTGTGTTTCTCACTCGCGAAGATTTTTGTGTCCTCGTATTCTTACAATTTTGTGTGCTTTTTGTTTTTGGATAATCCTTGAAGCTTTTGTAAGAGCCTTTGAACTCTGCAACTGAAGCAAATATCACACCAAACAAACGTATAATAATTCATCGTCACGACAATTGGATAAGAATATTTAGTATCTACTCCCCAATTCCATTTGTCTCAACAACAAAAATTTAATAAAAAAAATGTTGTCTGAGATTAGAGAACCACCAAAATTGTAAACAGCAACGCACATTAGCACATATATAACCGTACGAGTTCTTGTAGTAACCCCTTTCATCACAAAAAAAAAAAAAAACAGACTTCGACTTCGTCTTCTCAGCGAAAGTTGCCTGAAAAATCACAAATCACATTCACAATCTCTTTTTGCGCGTACTCGCTCATCCAAAACGCTGCGTTTTACGCCCAGATCATTGTCAGGTCAGCTCGAAGGTGCACTTGCAGTTGCAGCTTCTTCCTCCTTGATCTCTGCAGCGTTCACCACTGGGCTGCCGCCTTCGCTCGGGGGGCAGCCGCTATTTTCGATCCCTTCGCTTTCCGTTGCTCTCAATGAGTCCATGCCCATGACGGTCTCTGGTCGAGTAGCTGAAGCATGATAATCTTCAGAATGGTTCTTCGGCCTGTTCAGGGCCTGACAGTGAGGACAGTAGTATGTAATGTAGGGGAAGTCCTCTTTCCGGGCAAGTCCTGTTTCGTCACAAACATGTTAAAACATATGTTTTCCAAAGGTGGGAATGCAGGGTATTTGGAAAGGCGAAAAGTTCTTTTTTTTTAACAGCTCACTCACCGTTATGCATATGACAATTGCCACAGATAAGAGCATATGACTGGGTTGGATCCTCGCCCACGAGAAGAGCTGCGATTCTCGAGATCCAACTTCCGTCGTGAGCAGCGTATCCCTGAGAACTGAAGTGCTCAACCACCATCTGCTGGTTCTGGTCCGAGCCTGAAATTCTCTCGCTTGTCCCAGAATGAGGGGACTCATTGTCTGAATGATGAGCTGGAGGTGTGCTCCCAGTACTGTTGGGTCTCGTGTTAGGTTGTTTCCGATGTCTGAGCCCTCGTGATTGCATGACCTCCATGTCGTGGCTCTTGCCTACCGACGGATCGAGTTGGGATTCATCTCCTACAAATACTTTCAAGCCTGAATCTGCACCTAACTTGGATGCCAGGACTGTTGCAGCAGCTGCCTTAGCAGCCGGGTCGGGGTCATACCTCTGTATCAAAACAAAGCCGAAGTATTGATATATGTTATGGCATAAAGCTTGTTTTATTTCCCCAATCAACTGCAGCACCATGTATTGCTACCATACTTTCAAACCTACTCTTCTTGATTGTATATTGGGAATAATTTGCAGTTACCTTGAGTTAGCTGTGGCATATAATGATGAATTTGTACACTAGGTCACTAGCTCAACTTCTATAATACATAACCACCCTTTAGCCGATAAATGTGGTGGAGAATCATTTGACTAACATATTTAGCCACTAGTTTGATTGTCACAATTCACAAAGCAAGTAAAATAACTAACAGTAGCTCTATATGGTAACTACTCTGCAAACTAAACCAGAAACTCAACCAGAAACACTTGAGTCACTTGAGCGAGTGGACAATCATTCTCATTGAGAGCAGATGTCAAGGCCACAGAGACAAGATAGAAACCTAAAAGCACTCGAGTCACTTGAGCGCAGTAGACAATCATTCCCACGATGAACTTTGTTCAAGACAACTGACTTACCTGAATAAGTTGTTGTGTGGTGTAGTAATTGGTCCTCTCTTTCAGTTCGTCAATCTTGGCCTGCCTTTCTGCTCGAAGCTTTTCCAAGGTCTTCTGATCTCTGCGGTCACCTACACAATCGTTTTACACAGAGAAACCCAATTAGATAGAACACAAAACTTTAGAGAAAGGCCAAAACTTTACACAAAAGGGAGCATCCAAAAGGATTTAAAACACAAGTACTCACACATCCTTGAGAAGCTGACGATTGAGGAATAAGCAAGAGAAGACAGAGCAGGTAAAAGAAACATCGGCAAGATCCTGAAAGTCCTCATTTTCCAGTCCATGTCCTCCTTTCTGGTTGTCATGATCGCATAACCCACTGCAATAACCTGACAAGGCGCAAAACAACAGACGCTAAATCATATCATATCATTTCCACGAACTCAGTCCTCCCAAGCAGATTACAGAATGATGGGTATGAAATTCGCCATTTCAACTTCCTACTCAACTCAATCCTCTTCAGTACTAACAAAGAACAGGGTTTTATTCACTGGAACAGGATCGCTGACCTCAAAGATGATGGAGAAAACGATGAGGTTTCTAGTGAGTTTCCTCCAAGTTTGCGATCGGCGCTTCATCCGTGACAGAACCGTCGCTTCCTCCCTGGATATGTATTGAAGTCTCTTCTCGAAATCATCGCCTCTAGCCCTAAATATTCCATTCCAAAGGCGCGAAAAGAACCCCTTACGCTTCTTCTTCCCGCCTCCGCCGCCGTCTGCCGGCGTAGCGACGCCGGAATCCTTCTGCTCGCTGCTCTCAACCGCCGCACCTTCCCGCTCCTGCGCCATCTCCTCTCACCTCTCCACCACCAAAACAACAACCGCAACTATCGAAACCACTGCAAAAAAAATCAAACAACCGAATCGTCATCCATGGATCATCACAAAAGCGCGGATTTATCTCCTCCCTCGGGATCCAAGAATTGTCGTCCACTTGCCGGGTTTCCTTCTGATCTGGAATTCTCTGGAGAGGAAAAAGCTTGGGATATCGTGAAGAGCAGGACAAATGGCGAAGATGATTGGCTCTTCTCTTCTTCAATCTCTCTCTCGTTGCCTTTGCTTCGGCAGTCTGCGACAACTTTCTTCCCCTTCGAGATCCACCGTCACCCACCCTCCTTCACGTCGACCGCACGTGAGTCCCACGTGAGACCGTATCGTTCATCGACGACCAAAGCCCACACGAGGCCCAAAATAAAGCCCGTTTTTTTTTATTTCTTTTAAATTAAATAATGAATAATTATTATTCCGTGTTTTAGTTGGAGGATCCAACTTCCGAATTAATGGTTGGAATGATTAATGCACTTGTCATGGGATTTTCTTTTCCTTTGTTGGATATTTTATTTTATTTCATAGATATCCAAAGTTAAAATTCAATATTTTTTTTCATTAACAATTAAGAAACATATGAAGTTCGTGATGTTTTTATATAAAACTTCGTATCCCAAAATTTCACTCGGATTATTGTTCGATTTTAGTTCTTTTGGAACTGGTTTTCTATTAAAATATATTCTTTTTAAAATAATTTATGTTTTATATTTTTCTACTTTTTAAATGTTTAATTCGAATTGTTTGATTTGGAAAAAAATATTTTGATTATTAATAAATATTATTTAATTTCATTCGATTCCAATTTTTCAGAAAAACACATTTTTTATTAGTACAAATATAAGCTATTTTCGTACTTGTTTATATATTTATATTATATGTTTACAAGAGGCTGTTAAAATTAATTTCGTCCTTATTATAATTGTGGTTTGACAAATTTGATGCGTAAAATGGTATTTACGTGGTGAGAGTGTGCCGTACGATGGCAAGACCATTCTCTGCATTGTCATTTCATGAGCTTGGCAACAAACTGAAGGCTCTCGTATCCGAGCAACAATACTGCGAAGCTTTGAAGCTTTTCAAGCTAAAGATTCATCCTTTGGGCATTAATGGCTTCCTACCGATTCTTCCTTCCATTGTCAAAGCGTGCTCTTTTCAGCCCGATTCTCTCCTCGGTGCCCAGATTCATTCCGTGTGTCTCAAGTCAGCTTCCGATTGCGACACCGTTGTGACCAATTCTCTCATCTCAATGTACACGAAGCTGTGTAACATGGACTCTGCTCGGAAGGTGTTCGATGAAATGCCTCAAAGAGATACCATTAGCTACTGCTCCATCGTAAATTCTTATTGCCAAGGTGGGTTTTTGTCTGAAGCGTTGAAGTTGCTGAAGGAGATGTATTTTCATGGTCTTGTTCCGAAACCTGAGCTGGTCGCTGCTGTTTTGTCTCTCTGCACACGAATGGGAAGCGGCCAAACTGCAAGAATGCTCCATGCCCTTGTTCTTGTTGATGAAAGAATGCAGGGATCGATTGTCTTATCAACGGCTTTAGTTGACATGTACTTAAAGTTTCATGAGCTGAAAACAGCTTTCCATGTGTTCAATCGAATGGAGGAGAAGAATGAGGTCTCATGGACTGCCATGATTTCGAGTTGTGTTGCAGATCATAACTATGGAATGGGTATTGATTTGTTTATCGCAATGCAGAGGGAAAACGTTAGGCCCAATCACGCGACGCTATTGTCCATTCTACCAGCTTGTGTTGAGATAGGTTCTGGTTTAAGGAGACTGAAGGAGATTCATGGATTCTCTTTCCGTCAAGGGTTCAACTCAGACAATCATTTAACAACTGCCCTTATGACCGTGTACTGCAGATGCGGTAATGCAATCCTGTCTAGGTTACTTTTCGAGAGATCAAAGGTGAGAGATGTTGTAATGTGGAGCTCAATGATTGGAGGGTATGCTGAAACTGGAGACAGTGCTGAAGCTATGAATCTGTTCAGCCGGATGCGGAAAGAAGGAATCAAACCTAACTCGGTTACTCTGTTGGCTGCAGTTTCGGCTTGCACCCATTTGGCGTCATTGAACCATGCGTATGGAATCCATTGCCACATCCTGAAAAACGGCTTTAACTATGACCTTTCATTGAGCAATGCCCTCATAAATATGTACTCCAAATGTGGCGGTCTTGTATCTGCCCATAAAGTCTTTGATGAACTTGGCGTGAAAGATCTTGTGTCATGGAGCTCAATGATAAATGCATATGGTCTTCATGGCCGAGGTTCAGATGCTTTGGAACTCTTTCAAGTGATGACAGAAAGAGGAATGGAGATCGATGCAATGGCATTTCTCGCTATTTTATCAGCTTGCAACTACTCTGGCCTTATAGAAGAAGCACAGAATTTATTCATGCAGGCGGTGGAATGTAACAAGGTGCCACTCACTGTGGAACACTACGCTTGCTATGTCAATCTTCTAGGCAGGTCTGGAAAGATCGAAGATGCCTTTGAAGCCATAAAAGATATGCCCATGAAATCAAGCCCGAAAATTTGGAGTTCCCTGCTCTCAGCTTGTAAGATTCATGGCAAGCTAAATGTGGCAGGAACCATGCTTGCCAACCAGCTAATGGAATCTGAACCTGATAACCCAGCCAACTATGCATTGCTGAGCAACATTCACACTGAATCTGGTGACGCACATGGTGCAGAACAAGTGAGAAGGATAATGCAGAAACGAGGGCTGAATAAATGCTACGGATTCAGCAGAATTGAACTTTAAACAATGGAGAAACAGTAAAATGTTTTTAATGTGATCCTGTTTCTGCAATGGAGAAGCCAGGCATATTGGACATTCCTGGACATTGTACAATGCCTCTGTAAGTCCCTGTAAGTTGAAGATATCTTTCAGGCCATATGGAAACAGCCCAATAAACCTAATGCAAGCATCTGAAGGCGTCTGAATTCTACTTTCAAGTCCGAACCTAATAACTCAGCAGCTCAAACCACTGTCGTTCAGGCAGAAGCTGGTTACAGGAACAAGATATACAGCATATGGAGAACTCTGTAGCAACTGTAGAATTATAAAAGTTTTGGTTAATTCGTGTTCTGTAAATTCATATTAACACAATCATGTTACCATGTGAATATATTTGACAGTTTCTTTTTAGTCTAAGGCGTCAAAGTTAGGAAATCAAATGGAGAAAACAGAGTGTACATGCAAAACATGAACAACAAACTGCAAGTTAAAGACAGAAGTTCAACACCAGGTACAATAAGCCAAAGGACACACAACTGGTAATCACAACTAATTACGCAACATTAAAAGCTAAAGTAACTGCATGTACAGCTCTATATATGGACATATGCATCACAGTAGATCGTTAATCCAGTCTATGTCCATCATGAGGAAATTGTCTAGTTGTAGGTCTTCTACTGAGAATATAGGATCTGCAGTTGCATTGACTGGGACATAAGGTTCACTGACCATCTCAGGGATCCTCACAGATTCAGTGGGGACAGGAAGATCAGTGGTAACAGGAACTGGAACTGGAACAACTGGAACTGGAATTGGAATTGGAACATGAGATGGAACCTGAGCTGTTACCGTGAGAGTGGCAGCATGAGAAGACACAGGTGCATGTGATGAAGCATGGCTTGTTGCAATTGCCTGTATGTCCTTCCTGGACAATGGTTGAACAGAAGACCCTTCAGGGAGCTGTGGCTTCTTATCCGTTGGAAAATTGAAAACGCCTCTTTCACCCCTAATGCAGTACAGAGCGGCATCATAGGCCCGGGCTGCCTTCTCGGGAGCATCATAGGAACCCAGCCATATCCGCTTTCCAGTCCTTGGAACCCTGATTTCAGATACCCACTTTCCCCAAGCCCTCTTTCTGACACCCTTATAGCATTTAAATTTCCCATCTCTGCGAACTTCTTCAAGAGAAGAGCTCAGAAAAGGAGATTTCGGAGGAGAGGGCGGCATCATATCCATGGTAGAAGCAAAAGTTTCAGGATCTGTTTGGCTTGAAGCCTTGTAAGTAAGATAAAGATGGGTGAAAGCTGAAAATTAAGGGGGTATCAAAGAGCGAAGAGTAATGCTCGTGTTGATTGATGGAGCAGGTGGAGATGAAACGAAGAGGCACGCGATGTTATCAGCTGCACGTGGCAGCGAAGAAACTGTGGTGCTGCCAGCGTAATAGAGAGAGTAAGGGTTTCCATTTGCAGAGATCGACTAGCAAAGGTAACAGCCAATTTACTTGTCAAGCGTACGTTTCTTTAAAAAAGAGAAGTATCGAAGAAGGAAGTAAAAAGGAGGAAGAACCTACAGTTTGTTACAAATCAGATGTCCGTTTTTCCCAGCCGAGACACATGTAACATCCACTGCAGTTTATGAAGATAGAATCCGGTCAATCCAATGTGAGCTCTGAAACCAGGATTCTTCAGCGTATGATACAAAAATCCAGTAGAAAGCATGGACTTGAGACCAACATACCTTGATGAAAGCATTTTATCCATGTCCTTTTAGCAGTTACTAGATCTCTGAAACCTAACCTACTTGTTTCATTTCCATGTTCCATAGGAAGCAGGCTTTGTGGAAAAAGCATTGAAATGGTAAGATGGCCTGAAAATCAAGAAAATTAGGATCTCATGATATCATGACATTAACTAGTATATCCTAGTCACTTGATTCTTACGCTTAACTTCAACAGGTAAGGCTATGACAAAGTTACCAATGCATGATTCCACACTAGGTAGGAAGAATCTTCAGCCATTTTGAATATGAACAAATGGGCAAGAAGATGATCATAACAGCACATGGATCTTCATAAGCTATATATAGAAGAAACATCAGCCAGTTATGGAAGGCATTATAAAGAGCAAAACCATCAAGCTAAAGATTACAGCCTTGAAGTTTGATCCACCATTACTGAAGGACTCTTATCTGCCACTGCTAACTTTCTCTATAAACACATTGGCTTGGCTTTCAGTTACGGCACAAGATACTGACAGGATGCAGAACAGGGGAATTTGATGAAAAGATACGAGGTTATTCTACATTTCAGACACAACCCAGTTTCAATGTTTGCTCAAAGACGAACAAGGATCTAATTTGAAACAAGAAACCATTTCCTCTCGTTGTTTTCTTTACTACAACAATAGAAGGGATAATCGAGAAAGATGCAATCTTCGAAAGACCCAGAAACTGGATTATCAGAAAGCAGAAATCTTTAGACGTACCGAAGCTTATGCTGAAGAAATCGAAGTGGTCGTGATCCATCGCCATTACAGTTGAAGAGTTTGTACGGTAAAACCCTTTGCTCAAAAACCTCTGGGGGGTTTCGGGCTTAATAGATCGGCGGTAATTTCGCCGGGCGAAAGCCAAACATGGGCTAAAATGGTAAAACTTTAAACCTAAGTATACGGAGCTTGAGAAAAAATCAATTTTTGTAATTTCTTTTTTTAACGAAAAGCGTCGAACTTTTTCCATTTTTTCCTATTTTGGAGATCCGAAATACATAATTCTTAAAATTAATGTTAACAAAATAACTACATAGTAATATCAGATATTACTCCTTTTTATTTCTGCCTATATATTTGAGATATTTTTTTGTCAAATTTTTTACACAATTTTGTAGTATGTATTACTCCTAATATCTTTCTAAATTTTCATGAATCTTATCCACAGATCCGAAATTTATACATTGAAAACTAGCTCAATTTAAGTTATACCATATCATATGATATTTTGTCTTGAATAAATACAATTCGCAAAACATATAAAACTTAAGTACCCCCAAAGCCCAAAAAAAAGATTATACTAAGATTTTTTTTTTTTTGCCAATAACTTTTGATTCATATTTGCATAGTGAGAGGATAAAATAGAGCATTGTCTGGTCCATCTTACGCGTCCGGACATATCGCCTCACAAGCCAAGACAGAGCCTGAGCTTTCAAACTGGGGGTTGGGGGTCTCCTCTCTTGGTGATTTCCTGGGCACGACGCCCCTACTTCTCTGCTTCATCACTGCTCATCCTTCAAGTTCGTGACTCGATTTTACTGAATTCTGTGCAACTGGAGCTCTAAAGCTGTCTGATTTCAGACAAGAATGATGCATGTTCATCTGGGTTTTGCTGAAGATCCTGTTTTTGGGCTGTAAGACGTGTCCAATGATGTTGGGTTTGATACATGTCCTTGATGAGCACTTCAATTGTCTTATGCCGCTGCTTAGCATTCACCGGCCAAAACCCAGTTCTTGAATCGTCGTTCTCCTTACATCATCCTCCTGGTTTTTCCGTTCAATTACGCTGTAAAAGGAAGGGGCTTTGGAGGTTTGTCCCTAATGCCAAGAAGAACGATCATTCGGGTAGAAAAAGAAGCTGGTGGCAGAGGTTTTTCTTTGATGATGATGGGAATTGGCTTGGTTTGAGGGACGATGAAATTGTGGATGAGACATCTGATCTTGCAGGGGACGAGGAGATGACAGATGAGGAGAAATTCGAGACGTGGAAGAGACGAGCAGAGGCCATAGTGGAGATAAGGGAGAATCAGGAAGAGATGATGACTGATGTGAACAGGAGATGGGAGGATTGGATAGTGGATTCAGATGGTAATTCAGTGGAGTCATGGAGCCGTGACTCGGATGTTGAATCAGAATCTGATGAGTTGATAGGTCCTGACAGTGGCCTGGTTAAGACGGTGAGGGATATGGTTTTAGGAGTTGAAGAGGATGACATTCTATATGAAGACCGAGTTTTTCGCTATGCTTCTCTGAATTCGGTGAGTTTTGAGCTCTTGTTGATTAACCTTAACACCTTTTCATGGTGGAAATCATATGATCCATCGTTTATCGCCTCATGCGAAAGAATCTTCTGTATCCAAAAGCATCTTGGTTTTGATCTGTGCACTAAACCTGAGGGTATCCTCTGTAACTCTTTGTCAGGCGAAATTCTTGGCGGTCTTGATCATAATACCATGGGCATTAGACTTTCTGGTTCATGATTATGTCCTTATGCCCTTCTTGGACAGGTTAGTTGTCATGTGTTCTTTCTCTAATGGCTTTGTAGAAGTTATATCGTTTGTAGGACTCCAAAGGAATCTATAGTAGTACCCATTTCGAGCTCTGGCTATGGAGACCGAGATGATATTTGATTCTGCTGTTACATTCAGATATGTGAAGACAGTACCACTTGCTGCTCAGATGCTTGACGTGAGACGAAGCCAGAAACTCGAAATGGTCAAGGAAATAAACAGAGAAAAAGCAAGGTATCGGCTTGAAGTTGAGATTGGTAAATCTCCACCGCTTTCTGACGAGGACTTATGGTGGGAGATCCGGGGAAAAGCGTAAGTAAGATCAAACTCCACATTTCTAGTTTCGTTTTGGGTATCAATCCAAAATCTCGATAAAAAGTTCTAAACTTTCCCAAAATGCTGTTGACTGGTTCAACAGGTTGGAGCTGAGGGATGAGTGGAGGGTAGAGAACCGCAAAGCATTTGCCAATATATGGTCTGATACGGTGTTTGGGCTCTCGCTGTTCGTTCTTTTATATGCCAATCAGGGGAAAGTAAGTTCATGTTTTTCTGAACATCCTCAATGGGTTGTCTTGTCATATAGGTTAAGTTCGGTGACGTTCTTTTTCCTATTCGGTCGATGATGCCATCATTCTTGTCGGATTTCCTTTAGTATTTTTACCATTAGTATCTTATCTATTAACAGTTTCTTTGTTTCTTTTCCTTTCTTCATGGACTTTTCAGGTAGCTTTGTTAAAGTTTACCGGTTATAAGATCCTAAACAACATTTCAGACACTGGGAAGGCGTTTCTGATCATCCTTATCACCGACATTTTCTTAGGGTAATTCTCTATCACTCATATTCTTTACCGACAAATCTGTAACAAAGGGATTAACCACAATTTTCATCGTTCTTCTTCTCGGGTTTTGAAGGTACCATTCAGAATCAGGTTGGCAGACATTGTTAGAGATAATGGTGGAACATTACGGGATTGAGGTCGACCAGTCTGTTCTTACCATTTTTATCTGCTTCGTTCCCGTTGTCATCGATGCCTGCGTTAAGCTTTGGGTACCGTCTTTCCTTCCTTATCCTCGTCTTCTTCCATGGCTGACAAAACCAGGGAAAAAACAGTGCTTTCCCTTAATTGTTTGCTCTTCCTGTCTTAACTCTGTTCCGTTGTTTTTGATGGTTAATCTCTTTTGGCAGCTGTTTAAGTTCCTCCCGAGGTTATCTCCGAGAGTTTCGAGCATATTCAGCGAGATGAAGCGTCACTAGCAGAGGTCGATTTACCTCGTTTGATATTCGTTTTTTCCGCCATTGATGCCTGCTTCGAGCTCTGTACTCTTTTAACTCACTATCATTCTTCTGATTTCTTACATATAGATCCAAAACTAAGCCTCTGGTGCATGTGTTTTTGGTATTTGCAGATTGTGTCTGAATTTGAAAATATATATATATGCTATTGATCTTTTTTTTCTGTTTATGATTGATTAGATTATACAAATCTATAAAGTTTTTCCCGAAATGTCATCCCACCAGAGGTGGAAAATATCATCAAAGCATGAACACACACACACACACAATACATATATACATATATATATATATATATATATATATATATATATAGTCTTCCATTTGTCACGATACCCCCATCGTATTCGCACCGGTCCCAAAAGTCTTGAGAAGCTTCTGCATATCGCCGCTCTCGAGCATTTCCGAGCTCCTGAGTCGGATTTCCTAAGCGAAAATGGCTTCAAGCCCTTGAACGTTTTGCACCAGTCTTCAACGTCATACGAACCCGAAACCACGGAACTCGCCATTGAAGAGTAGTCCTGAACGTTGCAGGGCAATGCAGGTAACTGATAGACAGATGTGTAACTATTCGCAGTTCGATGAGATTGCAGTGTTTCTTGTATACTGCATAACCAACGCAAATTTCAGAAAAAACCGATGCGAAAAACTCTTACGAATACCATTCTCCTCTATGATCTTTCACGGCAAAAGGCTCGGTCTTAGCTTCACAGATGCGAAAACCATCACAATACCCGAACGCAACCTTAACACCGAGTCTGAACTTTCTGCTTCTGATCCAGCTTGAGTTATTGGTTCAAGTTAGCTCTCCGAGAGTTCTGACACCTCCTTTTGGCGTCAGTTGCATTTCGCCGGACAAGATTTGGCGTTTCCCTTCGCGTTCTCTCACTTGGAAGCTCTCGAAACGCTCTCTCGTCCAATCCTCGTCTTTGAAATCTCCTTTCAGCATGACGATATCCAGCCTGGCCGGTGATTCTTCCCCTGTATGAACCACGTTTCCCGTGTTTGCATCTATCAGAACGACGTGAATGGTCGAGCCTTGATCTCCCTCGGCTTTCCCACCCGTGAACAGATCACAGGTGAGGAGGCATCTGCGTCCCGAAGCAAAGCCACAGCTTTCTTCCATCCGGGCCTCAGATCTTCTTCGGTTCTCAAGAACTGAAAAAACGTGTCATTAGACCAGAAAACTCGAATGAATTCAAGCTAAAGGTGTTAAAACGGAGGGATACCTTGAGGTTAATGTTGCATTCCCCGACGGAGATAAAGCTCGTTCCACCTCCTCGCTGACCTGTTTGTTTCCCGAGAATCCACAAGAGTTTACAACTCAGATTCTGTCACAAAGATTTGAACTTAAAAGAAGAGTAATACCACGTATCAGAGATGGAGCAGAAACTTCAAGATAAAAGAAGAAGAATACAGAGGCTCACAATTCGTCGAAACAATGGCTCCAGAGATGAACTTAGCCTCTGAAGGCCATCTACCTTGACAGCTTCCACAATGGCACTGTAATTTCAAAAATTTTAACGAACTCGAAAGGGTAATCAAGAATGAATCTCCGCTCCTTCAGATTCTGAGATCGTATGATATGTGGAACCCGATACGTTATTCGCAGTGTCTGCAAATCATCCAAGGAACGATCAGATTAGAAGTCCTTGAAGGTCTCAACGCATTTGAAATTCAAATCCAAACTAACATCCAAACCTATAGGCCAGAAAAAACAACCCACCTCCTACTCAGACGATTGCCATCGCAGGAAGCAAGGTCCCATTATCAAAGAGAATCCAAAAACTCTTTGTCCAACCTACCGTCACATAGCATATCTACCACAATCTTTGTCGTTGACACATCTGCAGAGAACCCGCATCTCTTCTTTTCTTTTATAAGTTTGATACCCATTAACGTGTACCCGTGTTTTAGATAACCCTGGATCATTGCGTTGTACGTACGATAATTCGGCAAACAACCAGTCTCTTTCATCTCACTAAATAACTTCTCGACTTCACCAAATAAACCTCTCCAACATAGTCCCGAAATCATCGTATTATATGTTATCACATCTGGTTCCACCCCTTTATCCGAAAGCAAATTAAACAACTGCAATCCTTCATCAATCTTTTCCGCCTTACACATGCCATGAATGATAATATTGTGTACAACTACATCAAGGCTCATCCCATTCTTTTCCATCTTGTTGCATAATTCCATTGCTTCTTCCAATTTTCCATTTTTACACAGCCCATCAAGCAAAATCTTGTGAGTTATTAGATCAGGATGTGGACCGCGACGCTGCATCTCGAAGAAAAGCGTCTGGGCGGCATCAAGGTTGCCTGCCTGGCAAGATCCTTGAATGAGAGAATTGTAAATTATGTTATTAGCAACCACCCCTCTTTGAAACATCTCACTAAAGAGCTCGAGACCCTCATCAACCCTACCAGATTTGCAGTATCCATTTATGAGAGCACCAAACGTCACTACATCTGGAAAACATTCCTTGGTAACCATAGAATCAAACATTTGTCTTGCTTCAACAAGGCGATTCTGCATGCAAAATCCGTCAATCAGTGAATTATAAGTGATCGAATTCGGAACCAAACCTCTTTCGAGCATTTGTTCGTATAGTTCTTCAGCCTCTAGAAACATCCTCTCTTTAATGAATTTATTGATTAATCCGTTGAAAGTAACAATATTGGGCATGATTTTCTGTTTGATCATACCCTTCAATAATTGTGAGGCGTTGTTCCATCTGCCTGAACTACAGAGGCCGTTTATCAAAGCGCTATACGTAATAACATTCGATACAACTCCTCGACCATTCATGTTACTGAAAATTCCCAATGCATCGTCTATGTTCCCAGATTTGCAAAGACAATCGATAATCGTATTATATGTTACGACATCGACCATCGTGCACCTTTCCTCCATCTTCTTGATCAAATCCAAAGCTAAAGCAGAATCCCCTAGCTTGCAAATCCCATTCAAAATGGTGTTATATGTAAAAGTATCGGGGTGACAGCCTTTCTCTACCATCCGCTCAGTCAAAGTTACTGCCTCGTGAATTCTACCCTTGAGACAAAGTCCGTTGACGACAGTGTTAAATGTTACGACGTTAGGTTGAAGTTCTGCATCCACCATTCGCGCCATCAAGTCTAAAGCTACGGAAATTTCACCTAGGATGCAGAACCCATTGATTAGTGTACTGAATATGACAACATCAGACACGTAACCCAACTTTATGATCTTTCCAAAAACGGAAAATCCTAAGACCGCTTGACGTGAGCGACAGAAACAGTTTATCAGAATGGTCAAAGTGTACAGATCGTGTGAAACCCCGACCAATTCCATTGATTTGCAAAGCGAAATCACAACATCATACCGTTTCATCTTGGCGATGGCACTCAATAACTTATTGAAATCGATAATAGAAGGGAGGGGGCAAGACCGAACCATCTGATGGAACAAAACAACAGCTTGATCGACATTACTATCAGCAAACCCACATCTCAATCTCTCTCTGAACGACATATCGCTGTCTCTAACGCCAGAATAAGCCAATCTCCGACAACATAAAGCAGAGGAACAGCGTAAGACTGTGTCAGGAATACCTCTGAGAGAGAGAGGAGTACGAATGAAACATGATAAAGAAGACAATGCAACGGCAGCCACTCTCCGAACCGCCGGCGACATCGTGATGTTGAGGAACGAACAGTGAGAAACCTAGAACAGATTTAAGGAAAGAGGAAGTTTGTTAGTGTGCCAAAATACGGGAAATGGCAAATCTGCTTTGCTTCTTATACGAACCCTAGAACGAACGGTGAGAAGACGGAAGCCCAAACCGTTTGGAGTTAAAGGCCGAAGGAAATGGGCCGAAGATTTTATAAGTTAAGTTAAATTTAAATTTGAATGATTATAAATATTCAATTAAGGTTGCAAAGTTGCTTTTTTTTTGGTTTAATGTGAGTTCAGTTAAGTTAAATTTAAATTTGAATGATTATAAATATTCAATTAAGGTTGCAAAGTTGCTTTTTTTTTGGTTTAATGTGAGTTCAGTAAAGTTAAATTTAAATTTGAATGATTATAAATATTCAATTAAGGTTGCAAAGTTGCTTTTTTTTTTGTTTAATGTGAGTATATTAGATCTCCAAAAAAATACATTTCATTAAGCAACAAAAATTACAAAAACTTGGATTCCCGTGTAAGTGGGCAAAATGAATTTACGTCAAATATATCGTGCCGTCTAACGAAGGTCTTCCGTCAAGTAGTACCAATCCTCGAGTAAACATTTTTTTGTGTGAGTTGGTGCCCAACTGAACTGACAATAATAGAGTACGCATCCGTCGGTCTAGCTTAATCCGTGTATCGTGGATTAATCTCGCATTTTCCTTGAATATGCGATCGTTCCTTTCTTTCCAAATTAGATCCACCATAAGGTGATTATATATAAGGTCTTAGCCAGAAGACCTCTACTTCTATTTGTGGCACTACCGTTTTGGCGCTGCCAGTTTGGGACTTGTCTCAAATCTGACGGAAGAGAGTCCCAAAAACGTTCAGCAAAGTGATTCCATATGGCAAGGCTGTAAGGACAATCAAAAAAGAAGAGGTGGGAGTGGCTTTCCGGGGTTAAACCACAAAGATAACAAGTTGTGACAAGTTGAATCCCCCATCGGTGCAAACGGTCAATCGTTGGTAGGCGTTGCAGCTTGACTTGCCACATAAGAAGGGACGTTATCGTGTCGTGACAGGCAGCCAAACCTCGGAGAACCAATCAACCTGCGTAGAAGAAGGTCGTATCAACTTCCATGTTTGACTCGAAGAGAACCATGGTCGAAATTCTCCATTAGCATGCTTCCAGAGGTGGTGTCTGATCCTTCTGAGTCGCTAGGGGGCTCAATTGCTACTATTGTGGTTTGAATCTGCTGAATAACGTCAGAACGTGCTCCCGGAAACGACCAAGTAGCCCCTGCAGCGGCCTGAGCAACTGTGGCTTCTCGGGGAATTCGGAGCATGCGAGGGCATGTCTCACCGGCTAGAGAAATAAATGGGCCAGCCCCTGTCCAATTATTGAACCAGAACCTCGTGGTTCTACCATCACCAATTTGCTTTTTCATAAAGTCCTTGGCGTCTCCCCTGATGTTGATGAGTTTCCGGAGAATCCAAGAGAACCAATTTGTAGGTTTGCAGCTCCAATAACAAGTCGCCTTAGGGTATCCACTGTAACTCTTTGTCAGGCGAAATTCTTGGCGGTCGTGATCATAATACCATGGGCATTAGACTTTCTAGTTCATGATTATGTCCTTATGCCCTTCGTGGAAAGGTTAGTTGTCATGTATTCTTTCTCTAATAGCATTGTAGAAGTTATATCGTTTGTAGAACTCCAAAGGAATCCATAGTAGTACCCATTTCGAGCTCTGGCTATGGAGACCGAGATGATATTTGATTCTGCTGTTACATTCAGATATGTGAAGACAGTACCACTTGCTGCTCAGATGCTCGACGTGAGAAGAAGCCAGAAACTCGAAATGGTCAAGGAAATAAAGAGAGAAAAAGCAAGGTATCGGCTTGAAGTTGAGATTGGTAAATCTCCACCGCTTTCTGACGAGGACTTATGGTGGGAGATCCGGGGAAAAGCGTAAGTAAGATCAAACTCCACATTTCTAGTTTCGTTTTGGGTATCAATCCAAAATCTCGATAAAAAGTTCTAAACTTTCCCAAAGGTCTAAACTTTCCCAAAATGCTGTTGACTGGTTCAACAGGTTGGAGCTGAGGGATGAGTGGAGGGTAGAGAACCGGAAAGCATTTGCCAATATATGGTCTGATACGGTGTTTGAGCTCTCGCTGTTTGTTCTTTTATATGCCAATCAGGGGAAAGTAAGTTCATGTTTTTCTGAACATCCTCAATGGGTTGTCTTGTCTTATAGGTTAAGTTCGGTTACATTCTTGTTTCCTATTCGGTCGATGATGCCATCTTTCTTGCCGGGTTTCCTTTAGTATCTTAACCACTAGTATCTTTTCTATCAACAGTTTCTTTGTTTTTTTATTCTTTCTTCATGGACTTTTCAGGTAGCTTTGTTGAAGTTTACGGGTTATAAGATCCTAAACAACATTTCAGACACCGGGAAGGCGTTTCTGATCATCCTTATCACCGACATTTTCTTAGGGTAATTCTCTGTGATTTGTATTCTTTACCGGAAAACCTGTAACAAAGAGATTAACATCAATTTTCATCGTTCTTCTTCTCGGGTTTTGAAGGTGCCATTCAGAATCAGGTTGGCAGACATTGTTAGAGATAATGGTGGAGCATTACGGGATTGAGGTCGACCAGTCTGTTCTTACCATTTTTATCTGCTTCGTTCCTGTTGTCATCGATGCCTGCGTTAAGCTTTGGGTACTGTCTTTCCTTCCTTTCTTCCATGGCTGACAAAACCAGGGAAAAAACAGTGCTTTCCCTTAATTGTTTGCTCTTCCTGTCTTAACTCTGTTCCGTTGTTTTTGATGGTTAATCTCTTTTGGCAGCTGTTTAAGTTCCTCCCGAGGTTATCTCCGAGAGTTTCGAGCATATTCAGCGAGATGAAGCGTCACTAGCAGAGGTCGATTTACCTCGTTTGATATTCGTTTTTTCCGCCATTGATGCCCGCTTCGAGCTCTGTACTCTTTTAACTCACACTATCATTCTTCTGATTTCTTACATATAGATCCAAAACTAAGCCTCTGGTGCATGTGTTTTTGGTATTTGCAGATTGTGTCTGAATTTGAATATATATATATATATATGGTATTGTTCCTTTTTTCTGTTTATGATTGATTAGATTATACAAATCTATAAAGTTTTTCCCGAAATGTCATCCCACCAGAGGTGGAAAATAATAAATATCATCAAAACATGAACAACACACAAACACAATACATACATACATATATATATATAGTCTTCCACAGCTTTTGATCCGCCATTAACGACCTCTCAGTTCCTCTGTTTCGGTTTCTCAGTCAATCTCCACTAGCTGAGGCCTTCTCTCTGCAGCTTTCTTCCGTACGAAGATTCCCCATCTCAACGGACCGGTCCAATCACCGCCTTTCCCGAACCTCTACCGCTTTATCTCCCGTACCCATTATTGATCTGAGCCTTGTAAGGGATGGCGCTGTAACTGTAACAAGACGTCCGTACGACCCAACCCATTTGTCACGATACCCCCATCGTGTTCGCACCGGTCCCAAAAGTCTTGAGAAGCTTCTGCATATCGTCGCTCTCGAGCATTTCCGAGCTCCTGAGTCGGATTTCCTAAGCGAAAACGGCTTCAAGCCCTTGCCCGGCTCTCGTTTTGCACCAGTCTTCAACGTCATACGAACCCGAAACCACGGAACTCGCCATTGAAGAGTAGTCCTGAACGTTGCAGGGCAATGCAGGTAACTGATAGACAGATGTGTAACTATTCGCAGTTCGATGAGATTGCAGTGTTTCTTGTATACTGCATAACCAACGCAAATTTCAGAAAAAACCGATGCGAAAAACTCTTACGAATACCATTCTCCTCTATGATCTTTCACGGCAAAAGGCTCGGTCTTAGCTTCACAGATGCGAAAACCATCACAATACCCGAACGCAACCTTAACACCGAGTCTGAACTTTCTGCTTCTGATCCAGCTTGAGTTATTGGTTCAAGTTAGCTCTCCGAGAGTTCTGACACCTCCTTTTGGCGTCAGTTGCATTTTGCCGGACAAGATTTGGCGTTTCCCTTCGCGTTCTCTCACTTGGAAGCTCTCGAAACGCTCTCTCGTCCAATCCTCGTCTTTGAAATCTCCTTTCAGCATGAAAGAAGAGTAATACCACGTATCAGAGACGGAGCAGAAACTTCAAGATAAAAGAAGAAGAATACAGAGGCTCACAATTCGTCGAAACAATGGCTCCAGAGATGAACTTAGCCTCTGAAGGCCATCTACCTTGACAGCTTCCACAATGGCACTGTAATTTCAAAAATTTTAACGAACTCGAAAGGGTAATCAAGAATGAATCTCCGCTCCTTCAGATTCTGAGATCGTATGATATGTGGAACCCGATACGTTATTCGCAGAAAACACTTGCATTTTCATTCATATAACAGTGAAGTGTATCAAAACCGATGTCCAGCTTTGTGAACTGGAAAGCCAAGAAGTCTGTAATGAAAGTGGAAGTTAGTTGCCTTGCCAGAGCAAGCAATTTCTGTATCCTCTTGACCGAATCCATAGCTTCTCTTGTCCGTGGAACTTTCCATTCGAGAGAATTTTTTTGGATCTATGTGACCAGAGAATCGAATTTTATTACACTTAAAAAAAAAACCCACATGTCCACAGCAAAGGAAGCTTCAAACTTTTTCACAGCCCACATGGATACGAGGAAGACACTGAAGCAAGATCAGTTCTTTAATGGTGGATCTGAAGAATTCTGTTGCAAGAAATAGTATTTTGATGTGTGACGTTGTCAGGGTTTTAGATAATTCAAGAGAGAGAGAAAAAAAAAAAGGAACACTGCTGTGTAAGAAAGAGAGACCAAGAGAAACCAATCTTCAGATCTGTGAATCGATCGGGTATCCAAAATTTCGGATATCGGTGCATATCATAAAGTTTTGATTTTATCAATGTCATTATCAAGAAGAATAAACGAACAAAAAAAAAATGCCTCTTCATGAGATGAAACAAAGTGAGAAACCCATCTTCTACTAATATCAAACATGAAAAGGTTTAGTGAAGAAAAAAGAAAGGAGCATCACAGTTCTCTGTCTCTTACCCTTTTTTTTCTGCAATTGGCAGTGAACGTTTTGTTCCTAGTCGACGTCTTTCTTATTCGATTTCCCTTCACATAACATGGAGCCAATTGCTTTCCCCTTCTTCGCGTACAGGACAGATGCAATCAAGGCAATGGGAACTCCTGTTGAACAAGAAAATAACATAAACAAAGATGTAATTCCTACTTAGTTTATGCAAATAATGCTGAAAGATCTTTGTTTCAGTTAACGATGTTTTAAGTGTCGAAACCGATGTTCCATGTGACTGAGTGCACTAATCGGCAAACTTATGACACCTTTCCTCAACAACAAAAAAACAACCCTATTCTCAGATTGTATCGAGTTTGTATACCACTTTCTGATTTTGATTATATGATATAGAAAGACAAATAGTATTTGTAAGACAGGGAGAGTGTACCTATAAAGATTAGGCCAGGAAGTGACAGAGCTCCCGCAAAATTCGAGAGTAACAACAGCAGTACCGCCTATTTCATCAGAAACACAAACTGATTGTTATCCTTTCAAAGACGTTTCTGCTTCAACCTGGGATTGGAAAGACCGAATGAGAAAACAAGACGTTTCAAAGGAAAAATACCGTGAGAAAGAAGATCAATGGTGAGGTCACTGACACTGAAGAGGCTTCTCGGTTGAGATGATTCTCGGCTTTCAAATGTGAGAACGAGCCTATCGTCCTCTTGATACTTTCCTGCAGTATCATCGAGTCATGTATTTTGAAAGAAAAAAACACGGTAGAAACAGCAAGTATACATCTGTTTCAAATGAAAGGTTATATAACCTGAAGTGGCACAATAGGTGTGTAGCCAAGTCTATCCTTAGCCTTCGAGCAATCGAATGTTCTGGTGAGAGAGAGCAGCCTAACTCTCGAGGGTGTTAGTTGCGGTACTTTCATCCCGAGTGGGCCGAACAACTTATATGTCAGTTCTACCAGACGTGCTATCGGCACTATGAAAAATGCAGGGATCTTTATTCTCGGCCTGCAAAAGCACAACCATTCAGGAAGAACGGTAAAGCGGTTTCTGGATTTAGGACATGTTGAGAAACGGTTTCCCTCGCAGATAAATGCCGATAAGTAAAACATTACAAAAGAAAAGGGAAGAGACAATACCTCTCATAACCAAGTCCTTCAAGAATCTGTGACATAAACTCCCAAAATTTAATAGGCTCCATGTTGGTAATGAAATATGCCTGTGCGACCATGGAATTTACGACGACATCATGAGTAATTTACCATTTCCAAACACTGTCTTCTCTATAACCGAGTGAACGAGTAAAATGGTGAGGCCCGAACATAAAAATAGTCCTTGCACGCAATAGAAGTACAACTGCACCAAAACACCACATATCCTTATACAGCTATGACAAAAAATCAACCGAGACAAAGTACCTGGCCAGCAGCTTTCTCAGAAACTTCCCCTCCCGAAGCTAGAGCTCGTTCAGCACAGACATGGGCATGTGCAACGTTTTCAACATAAGTGACATCGTAAAGATTGTTCCCATCGCCAATAATGAACTGCACATTTGAGAAGCAGAAAATGATTGTACTGACAGAAGCTACCTGTCTGAAAAGCATTGTTCATTTAAGCGTGCATGGTGGAATAAAAAATTCAAGATCAATCAATGGAAGCGACGAGAGAATGATGCGGTCCAACCTTGGATTTTCCAGCCTTGGCAGCAGAAACGAGTGATGGAACCATTAATCTATCACCAGGACCAAATATCGTGCTAGGACGTATGCAACACGTGAGAAGTCCATTACTGCCATTGGACTTCAGCACCAGCGCCTCTCCTTCAGCTTTAGTTGCTGAATATGAATCATTATGCTGAAAAAAACGAAGAACTTAACTCACCAAATCTACGCCATTTGGATGAATAAACAAGTTTAACATTCCCAACTTGTCTTCAATAGAATGTGTCACATACAAAAGATCTATGGGGTAATCCTGCATTGTTGAGGCATAACAACGAGAAGTTAAAGATTAATGGCTGAGTAATGGACGGAAACCGAGCCTGATACCTTAGACGGATACGGCACTGATTCATTGGCATTCAAAATTTCATGGACCCCATCAAACACAACGCTCGGAGAGCTCGTATAGATAAGCCTCTTTACTCCGAGCTCAACGCAAGTATCGATTACATTCTTCGTCCCTGCAGATAAGGCATTCATTCACACAGATTCGTAAAAACAAGAATTTCGATTTCGAAGAAAGTGGAAAAAATCAGGGTTTACAGGATCCGACCTTGCACATTAACAGAGTACTGAAGCTGGTGCTTGTTGACTGACGAATCTGGAGCCGCCATGTGAAACACAACTTCTGCTCCCTCGCAAGCTGTTTCAGGATCAATCGAGATCCTATTGATCAAATCGCATTTACACAAAACATGAACAAAGTCATAACGAACAAGTTCATAGCAAAGAACCTCTGAACACTTGAGCTTTGTCGCGGAGATCGACGGTGACATACTGAACCCGACCGGATCTCAAGGCTTCGCCGAGAACTCCGGCCTCTTCATGAGGCTCGAGCTTTATGGCCGGAGCTAAATCGGCGATCCTGACTTGGAAGATCTCACGGCGCAAGAGCATCTCCACCAGATGCCTCGCCGCGAATCCTCGCCGCCGCCGCCGCCGTCATGTCTCCGACAAGAACTCAACGACGGGCAACACTAACAGAAGACCTTTTTGCCTTTCGAGATTAGCAAAGACTCCGTAGCAAAAGTCCCCTGGCTGATTTAGATGGTCTCTCGCTAATTTAATCCTAATCGTAATTATTAATTTCACAATTGACAAGTTTACCCCTATCATATCATCAAATTCGAAACCCCCCCCGCCATTTTCAACAATCTCCAACGGCTTGGGTCTAAAAAAATATTTTTTAAAAAATTTCTAATCCGAATCAAAATCCGATAAAAAGATTGAATAAATATAATATTTGTAAATCGAAAAAAACCAAATTAAAAATAACAGAATCTCATCCATTTTCGTATTTCAAAAAAAATCATCACGAGGCTGAAATGATCTACCGAGTAGAGTTGGTTTATTATGATTGCCTTTATATTCAGATTTGGTTATTTTAATTTTAGAAATATTATAATCATATTGAATTTGATTCAATTTAGTTCTATTTTGATATGAATTTGCTCTCTATTTTTATTTTAAAAAATATTCATTATTTCAAAGAAAAATATTATTTATTTAGTTCAGTTTCCGGTTTTTCCGATTTTTAGAAAATGGATTCGATTGCAATTGTATATTATTGGGTTAAGATGGATTTGATGATTCGGTTATTAACCGAATCGGTTAGAACGGAGTTTGGATTTTATTACATAAAGAGAGAAGAAACAGACAATGTCTGTGTGTGTGTCCGCAGATAAAGAAGCTTTGGAAGCACTCAACACTGAAAGTCAATGTCTGGAATCAGAGTAATACTCATCGATCCACTTCTGAATGATGGCAACTTCTTGCCGCCTCTGCTCTTTCAGCCAATCAGGATCCTCCTCCGTCTCCCTCCTCAGGTCAGCATGGTGAGCTCCTGTTTCACACATCCATGGCGGAATTGATTTCATTCGTTACCACAAACAACCTTCCACTATGTCTTACGTATGTTACCTTGTTTGGTCACCAGCGCGATGATGCTGCTCGATATGTTCTTCAGAACTCTGCCAAAACACAAAAGCAAGAGCGGGGATTTATACAGAAACCTGTGTTGCAGATCGAGAAAGAGAAGGTGGTGATTAAGACGAACCCTCCTCTGCTCCATGGATCCTGCATTCCGTTGGAGAAGATGATGTTACTCCCGAACCTCTTCAACACCTTCTCTATTCTCTGCGATTACACGTAAATAAATCTCGGATTTACATATCTGTGTAGGTAAAAACCTCTATTTTTTCCGACGTTTCCTCGGGGGTAGAACGAAAACAGACCTGACCGCCGAATTCAGTGGTGATCCAGTGGGGACGAGGCTTGACCCCGAATCTGAAGACGCAGTTTTCTTCGAAGCCTTTGTAATCCTCCTCAAATGGCTGAAACATGCACTCGTCCGAGCAGCTCATCGGCATCACCATCTCCGTGCACGCCTTTTTTTTCCATCCGGTAAAAAAAAAACTCAGCTCATGACGGATTCATATAAATTCTGTTTCGATAATTATATGCATACCAACGTATATCAGTTAACGCGTCTTACGTGTTAAATCTTTTATTGGACCGATTATGTGACCTCGATAAGTTTTGGGGTCTAAAATCACATCTTGGAAAAGTATAAGGACTATTGTGCAAATACTATTCGGTAATTTCTATTTCTTTTGTTCTATTAACCCGTTTATAAGAGAACACCAATGTCGCCTTAATCCCAAGTTTATTTGAGGTTAGACGTATGAATTCTCCATCTCCGTTCATTTCGATTTTGGGTTAAGTCCTCCGAGATATGATGTTATATTCGGTTCAGTTCTTCAGTATCTTAGATCCATGTTATAATTCCGCATTCAGATTCAATTGATATATTTGTGAATTATACCTGCCAACCCCAACCGCTGAGTCCATGAGCATCTTCCTCGTGTCCGATATCGAAGCATTTCTCCGAACCTGAATAGTTATAGTACAAGCTTGCGGCAGCAAACACACGCTCGAGATCACTCGCTCCCCGTGCTGCTGACCCGTCGATGATTTTGCACATCTGATAATACCGAAGAAGACAAGTTCCGGGTCGGGAAAAAGGAAAGAAATTTAAAGACGACGACTTTGGAAAACGGTAATAGTTTCAGTTACCTTGTCCACGGGATAAGCGGGCAATGGCGCCATGAAGTTAGCTTCTGTTGGGTAATTAACCATCGCTGTATAAACAAATGCCGTCTGTAACCAACCGATGGCTGAAGATACAGACCGAAGATCCCTGCAATAGACACAAGAAACATTTAATAAGAAGGACAATGGCCAATGTTGCGAGATCAGTGTTTCGATATGGTCAGAACAAGGAATTTACTTGCAAGTTCGGAATATCTTGCTGAGTTTGGTCAAGCCTGCATTCATGGTGGAGAATGCTTCCATCTCCGCCCAGCTTCGCTTTATGACTTCGAAACAATCGGAACTCGCATCCTACGCATAGTACGAGACACAGAGAACAAGATCTTATCAGACGTGAGATGGAACGCGAAGAAAAACAGAGAAACGGGAGCATACCCTTGTCGGGAAGAGAGTGTTTGAATCATGTACGAACCTTGAAATCCTGAGAAACGGCGTCATAGAAGCTCGTCGAAGGCACGATGTTATCGAATTGCAGAATTGGAGCGGAAGATGCTAATGCGCCGAGCGATATGTGCGGATACTTGAGTCTGAACCAGGCTGCAAGCACTGAACAGACAAAACACAACAGATTAAGTAAACATATATCAAATTACATCGAATTGAATTTGTAACAGCGAAAATCCGTTTCAGACAAGAACATGAGAAGGAGGGTGTTTGGGAAAGTGAGCTTACTTCCTCCATAAGAGCCACCAAAGACCACAACAGGCGAAGCTTCGGATGATAGATTCTGCTTCAAGCTTCTGATCAGAACCGCGAAATCAGCCAACGCTTGCTGTGAATTCAGGTACCCTAATGTCTCGGCAGATTTGTACGACTTCTTCCCAAATGGCAATGACTCTCCATAGAATCTATGCTGCAAGGACATTGTACATCAGAAAACAGAGCATTAAGCCAGTGTTCTCCAAAGATCAAGGTAGAGAGAGATGAAGTTACGGAATTCAGAGAAGAAAAAAAACTTTTACCTCGATGAAGACAAGAAGAGCTCGGAACTTGGGAGCAATGTCGAACATGAATCCGGTGTTAGAAGCAAACCATTCGATGTCTCCTTCGTTGCCAGTGTAGACGAAGATGGGCCCACCTATGTGCCAGAAATGGCTGTTGATAAGGTACTTCTGGTGGAAGGTTCTGTAACTGTCTGGTCTGAAACTGAAGTGGTCGAGAATCTGAGGGAAGTAACGGGTCTGGAGAGGTAGAGGAAACTCTGGCTTTGAGATCTTCCTGTCTTGTCTCAGAGAAGACAAGTGGTATGCTGCTCCTGGAACATACGTCACCATTGATGCTTTTGTTGACCGTGTTGCATGAGCAACAATGGTGAAGAACAGAAGCAGAAGACATGAACAACCAGGCATCCTCTCTCTCTCTCCCTCTCTCCTCCTCCTCCTCTCTCTCTAAAGAAAAATATGAAGAAGAGGTTGTCTTATGTCAAGTTTTGTTTTCCCAAGCAAACTCTTTTGGGAGTTTGTCGATAAAAAAAAATTAAAAATATCAGAGAAAGGGCTTAAGTCAGTGTCCTTTTCAGGACATGATTCTTACACACAGACATGCAATCAGAAGAGCCCTCTTACAAGTTGAGAGGTAAGATCCAAACAAAGCAGATCCCTTCACCCCCCATGACTACTGGTCATAAGATACCACAATTATTTGTACATACATACATGTATACATACACATACATAGTAAAGCATACTGAATTTAGAAAAATGGGTTGCCAACTGATCGTCCATAAAGTTGGTGCCAAACCTCGAATGTGGAAACAGTCCATGTGAGAATACCAAAGAGCCTACGAGCAGTCACATTGCCTAAACGTTGAAATGCAGACTCAGGAAAGGAAATAACAAGAAATTCGCGTCTCATTTCTATGTGCTAGAAGAAAACTACTTATTAAGCAAAAAAAAAAAAGGAATTACCCTTTTGGAATGATGGAGGTATTGCAACGCCCCTCTTTCATATATTTATCAGTCTAATTTCGAATAAAAGGGAAATGAACAGGAAAATGGTAAAAGATTGAGACATTAGCACCAATAATTGAGACCAACACTTCACTATCCTGTAATAAAAATGAGCAAGACAGACACGATCAAAGAGAACAGCTCATCTATCCCCACTCCACTAGTCAACTTTTGTTCACTTGAAAAGTAAACGTGCTGCAATAATAAGCATCTTATCACCAAAACAAAAACAAAAAATTCACTCTTCCTAAAATGGCATAAAGAAACTTTAATCATGAAACCAAAACTTTTTTTTTGTTAAAGGTGGTACCCAAAACTTTCTCCAAAGTTTAGAGCTTTTCCACATTTTCATTCATCCTCCCAAAATTTGCAAACAAAGGGTTGGTCCAACAAATACTTTTTTAACAGATAAGGAATGCGATAATATGTTGATATCATTAGAGGTCCGGGAAGGATTCCACCACAAAAGTGTATTGTAGGTAAACCTTACCTTGCAGAAAGGTAAGTTGATATCATTATTATCGATAAACATGCAAACATGTAATTGCAATGGTGAAGCTGCTCATTCCAGAGAATAAAGATGGCATGCCTCCAAGAGCCTGTTTTTGTTTTCCTAAGTATATATATATACAGATGATGCAAATGCAGATGCAGATGTAGAACTTATCTCAGATTCTGATCTGAGTGTACACATCTAGTCCTGCTCCAAAAAAGCACTGAGCCACTCAGTTCTAGGAATCACATCGCATTGATTTCGAACTGCACTGAGGAATCATAGAAGAATACAGAGAACGGACCCATGTTCTTGGACCAAAGAATACACGGATAGTCTACATTTTTACAAGACCCTTTTCGATATGTGTGGGTGTCGAGCATCACCAGAGACAGAGTTGAAGAAATAAACATATGAAGGATGCAACTTGCGCCGGAAGGGAATAAACAAGTCAAAAGAAAAACTTGTCTATCATCTTTGCATTGCTACTTAAGTAATACCAATCTTGTATTTAACCTTAGGTATGATGACAGTCTTCACTTGATTTGATTCTCCATGTGTCTCTGCCATGTTCCATTGAACCATACTTCCAGAATCCATTCTGAAATAATCAGACAACACTCCATCTTTGGGAAACTTGCACCTCTTCTATGCAAAGCCAAGAATAAAAATATACAGACGCAGGTAAACCGTCCACAAGGGACAGTCACGGTTAAGATCAACAGATTCTTCCATCCTCTCCCATTCCGCAGTCCTTGAAGGAACAACAATCCTGCAAAGCTGTATCAGAAACACTCAACATAGAAACCATCCCGAACATATAAACGCTTGAATCCGAACGTCTATCACATATTTCCTGGCACAAGTGTAGTAGTCTAACCCTGAAATGCAGAAGAACAATCAGCATTTTTCAACCTTCTATGTCACGAAATTAAGCATAAGATAGAATGTAGCAATTAGCATCAACACCCAAATAAACTTCATCTGTGAACCTTCACATGTCGCGTTACTTCACTCGATTCGATTATTTGAAAAGTTAAAAGTCCCGAAACCAATCAAATTTGGTTCCTTTAACTTGGATACAAAATGAAATCCAAGTATGAATCATAGAGGAGGCTCAGATTCGCCTTTTCTCAGACAGCTGAAAGAGAGAAGACACCAAAATGGCTGCTGACAAAAAAGACAGGAGTTTTCATTGTTCCTCCATGCCACATTTGTAGCCACGCCAAGAATCAGGAGTTTCTCATCAATGTCTGGTCTTATTGACTCTGAAATCATCATCACAGCCTCCCAAAGAAGAAGAAGAAGAAGAAGAAGAAGAAGAAGAAGAAGCAGATAACAGATCCATTGAAAAGACAGAGAAAAAGATACGACGACAGCGATTGAGAGGCTATTTGGCATAGCACTCAAGTGGCTCATTGCCACACGCATGTGGCTCGCCGATGGAGGATGAAATCATCGGCCCCGCTTCCACCGGAGATGACGACGAATCCGTCGTACGACGCCGGAGCGATTCCCTCCAGGAGCAGAACCTCATACTTAAACTAATGAGATAAAACCCTAAACCAGTCCTTCCCGAATAATTTATATCCCCCTTCTTCAGATGTGTTCTTCCATTTGTACCCTCAATATAGGCCATAGATTTGTTAACCTAATGAGGGTATTTTAGTAAATATTATAAATAAGAGATTTTTTATCTAGAAAGTAGATCATATTCATATGTGGCTTAAAAAGTCTTTTATTATACCAAAACTAAAAAATCAATATTTTCTATTAAAAAAACATATATTTTAAAATAAATAACATTTTATTTTCATTATAAAAAAAATATAATATATTAAACCGTCAAGTTATATTTTGACAATATTTATAAGGTTTTTATATCATAATTTATTTTTCTAAATATTTATAATCTTTATAAAACCGTGATTTGGACAATAGTCCCATAAATTGAGAATTTAAAATTTTTATTTTTAAAATTAAAAATATCAAAAGTTATAATTATTAAAAGTTTATGCCTTTTAAAAGTATTCCAATTTGGTGCTTTTCTTAATTTTTCAAATTAGAATTTGATGCTTTTCTTAATTATTCTTGTTAAAATTAGTCTTGAATGGTGATATTAAAATTTAAGTTTGATTTCAATTTTTTTTTGGATATATGAAGTTGTAAAGATTTATTCTGGATTTTTATTTAGTTTTTATTACTTTTTTAATAAAAAAAATATTTATTTAAAATTTAATTTTAACATTTTTATACACATTCCATTTTTATATCAAATTTATCTTTGGACATATTGCTTATGGCTATATATTGATTCGGTTGTAAATAAAATAATAAAGATAGATAAAAGTAAATGAAAAAAATGGAAAGTGAAGAAACAAAACACAAAAAATCTAACCCAAAATTGGTTGACTCAACCGGTAAAAAAGAGAACAAAGGTGAGTTCGAATCTTTACTTGGAAAAGATGATCTATTAGGAGATGTAGTCGGACAAAAAGTTCATATAAACTTTCAACATTATAAAAAAATGCAAAAAATCTGTCTGCATAATAGAGAAGCTTTACATAGCCTCTTTGCCCTTCTGCTTAACTGATCTCGTGTCCACGACCACTCCGGATGAGCCGATGAAAGAAGTCAACTGTTCACACAGACAAAACATGCACATACACATGTTTCATCATATTATAAAATAAATAAATAAAAAACATTAATCTTTCAATATGCATTTAATCTTTCGACCAAGAAAGAACAAAACGCTTACAAGATCTGAGAAGCTCAGTCTGTGCAGAAGAAACCCATCTTCCTTTTTTCTGAGAAAAACCAGATTGGCATCCAACAAGTGCATTGATCATGATCATGAGCATGAGCATCATACACACTTGTGACTGTATACATACATACATGCATACATACATATATGTAATCAGGTATGAAGCAAGGAAACTTCAGTCAGTACCTCTTAGTACTCGACGATGAGCGTCTATTCTCCGTTGGGGTAGGAACGACGATGCAAGCTATGCCGGTTTGGTTAGTTCCGTTGATGCAGCCTTTATCGCTCAGGTATACGTTCTTGATCATAATCGAAGACAGACGAATATATAATTTATGCTATCTCATCTTATCAGACCGATTCAACGAAAAGATTCTCATGAATCTTTGGACGATTGCTTACCACTCCATTGTCGATCAAGAGTTGATGAAACGTTTCATCAACCTGCTCCACTTCCTTGGGTTCCTTACCTTGCATATCCACGAACAATGGATCAGATCCGACAACAATGCGCCTGTCAAGAACGACCAAGAACGTTTCAATCAGTTCATAGCCGGGTTTTTCCAGCGTTATACGTGCAGATTTCAAAGTGTAACCAGTGATTTGTATCGCTAAATATTTTGCGCATTTCTCAAGACCCTTAATCTCTATTTGCCAAACCATGAGGATAATCATGTCAAGATGAACAGATATAGCAAAGTTACCAATCTGCATTAGCTGCTTTCAGAGCCCTTGTCAGCTCGTTTACCCGACTGCTCCCTGAGCCATCCGACACAGTATTGGTCGGGCCATGCTTTAGTTGCAGCGATAACCAAGCAAAAGAATCAGACCATAAACTATGACTATGCAATATTTTGGTAGAAGATGAGATACACTACACTCAAATATTCATCCATCAATATAGCAAATTGATTTCACCTGTTGTGATGAACCAGTTGCTATGAAAACTATATCTAATGCTCCTCCGATAGGCAGTTTGATGCGTTTCGTGAAATATCCAGATTCGTTTTCTCTCGAATCTCCTGTAATGTACCTGCGAAGTGTGAATCATTATCTTTTTTCATTGCTCTTCTCTTGATGAAGCAAATGGGGCAAGAAAACTGAAAAGGGTCTGTTGATGAAGAAAAAGGGTTTTTGTTGTTTCACCATGGCAGTTTCAGAGAAGAGGACACACGAGTGGCCTGCAAAAAACATGAACAGATGTTATCTGTTGCTGCTCGTGTCTGGACAACAGGAGATTGGATTTGGTGCAGTGATCACTTTTGAATCATTTGTAAATCTCTCTGTCTCTACATTTCGAGAAAGCTGTTCATAAACAGCTCGAGAGCTTACATTTCGAAAGAGCGGATCTTTGTCTCCAATATCGCTAATGCTCACCACAACCCTTGCGTTGTAAGATCTCGCAACGCTCCCCATCTTCATCAATCACAAAAACAATAGAACGAACAAGTTCATGAACAGCTTTGGTCACCCAGAAGAAGAAAAAAAATCAAAAAATTTCCCCTGAAACTTGACTGCTTCTCTTATAAAGATCCCTAATTTCGATTCTGGGTCGAGTAAAATTATCTGAAGATCCAACAAAAAAACCATCATTTTGACATGGAAATTTCAATTTCTTGGAAATAGACGATGTGCACATTGTTGGGTCCTCTTCAAAATCTCATCTTTCAACAAAATAGAATGTTGTGTACAGAAGCGATTTGTCCACTGGACCAAAGGGAGAAGAAGAGGGGGAAAAAACAGACCAGTTTGAGAAGACGGTTTTGTTGGTGGAGAGGCCTGGAGCCACCGGAGACAGTGATGAAGTGAAGATCGAGATGTCTGCCATTGTCAGCGTCCGAGAACAACAAGGAGCGACCCAGATGCAGAGACACGTAAATGGCGACGCAGAGAGACAACTGGATGAAGATTGTGCAAGCCCATGGTGACTGCCTCATGTTTTACTCTCATGGGTTATCCGAAATTTTCTCAGTCGAGAGGCCAGAAACCGATGTAATGTGACTGTAAATGAACAAAGGGGAGAGAGAGAGAGGGGTTTATGGTGGCAATGCACATGGTGATGAACATGTCATGTCAGAGACTCAATCCTTATCTTCAAAAATCGAGGGATCGTATGATTTTACAGGAAGAATCTATCATGAATATGATCTGTTTTGGGACATTTATTGGATCATCATCAGCATCGTCTTTCAGCGGTTCATATGTCACAACTGTTGAATCATATTATCATACCCCGATATAGTATGTATTGGTATTGGATGATTTGATATATTTTATGTGTTTTAATTGATTAATTATCATAGTTTCGAATATATATATATATATATATATATATTGGAATAGGCATTCGATGTGAATAAAAAAAATTAATTCAAATCTAACTTGAATCAAATATAAAAATAAATGAAAGAAATATATATTCTAAATATTTTATTACTAAAAATTAAATTCAAATTTAATATACAATCCAAATGAATATGGAATTTTAAAATTGAAAGGACCAAATTCAACTAACAACGAGAAAAAAAATGAAATACCAATATATATATATATATATCCAAATGTCCAAAGTAATATTTGTGAATCTTGAAAAAAAAATCGGAATATCCAGGAATTTGTTACAAAATTGAGGGGCCTGAGGCTGGATGTTGATCTGGGCCGAAGCTTAAGGCCCAACACGTAACAATTCTCACGTCACACATACGTCATCCTTCTTCTCTCTCTTTTTTGCTATAGAGAGAGATAGAGAACAATTCATTTCCCTTCTAAAATCCCTACAAATTTTGAGGTTCACCCCAAAACAAAGGAAACGAGGAGCAGAGTTAGCGTGGATGTTTCGATTCGATTATGATTCAAACCGAAAAATATGGTATTTTTTTCGATTCGAATAGTTCAAAATTCCTGAATGTTATTAATTTTAAAAAAATCGAATTTTCATAATTGAATCGAACTGAATCGAATCGAAATTTTAAAAAAAATGGAAAGCGGAAAATATTTTTAAAAAGATCTATTTTTTTTAATAAAAACCAGAATCGAATTGAATCGAAACTAAATCGAACCGAACCGAATATAATATAATATAATGATTGTTTATTATCTATTTTAGTAAAACTGAACCGAATCGAATTATTTCCGACCCGAATACCGAATTGACCACCCCTTGTGAGAGTGGTTTTTGATTTGATTGTTTTGTACCAATTTGGTTTGGGCGGTCGAATTCAAAAAAGGTCTTATTTTATCCCAAAATATGAAGTACACAAATAGTTTAATTAGTCTTCAATTCAAAACCAAACGTAAAATTTGATTTTCAAATTAAATATTATTTAAACATTAATTGAGTATTATTTTGCGTAAAATAACTAAATTAAACGATTCGAACGCATTACAAAATAATAAATAAATAAATAAAAATAATTTTTTTTAAAGCAATGAATATTTTTTTTATATTGAAATCTAGTTTGAATCTGAATTAGAATAAATATTTATATATATCATTTTTGTGAAGTCAAAATTACGTAACCTTATCCAAAACAACTAGGAATTATTTAACGACGCAAACCAACAAGGAAGACTATCTTATCTCATCCTTTCCTAACTTTCTTTATCCTCACCTACCCAACAATATCTATGAATGATTTTGATTTTCCCGGAAAATGAGAAAAGAAAATATGCGTATGGGGGAGGAATCATCATTCATCGTATACGCAGGCGGAAACCGTATGTGAAATGGGTTCTCATGCTTTTCCATCACCTTTTTGCCCATTTGCGATAACGAACTCTGACCAATGCTTGCTTTACACAATCCCCACAACTTTGGAGAGCGTGTATATATTGATGATTTTCTTTGAAAAATAAATAAACATATATTGATGATTTGATAACATATATATGCTCATGGTTGGTCCAAACCAAAAATATAACAAAATTTTACTGTCGGATGTGAATGTTTAAGTAAGAAGCAAAATACTTCGATCAAAGTTGAATTAGAAACTTGAAATCTTATCAAACTTTTTTTCGGGGTAAATGGAATCTTTTGATACTTATAATTACAAGATAAAATCCAACCAAAATGTTTTATTTGGCTTTTTTGCATGTCAATATTCAAACAAATTTTTTTTATATATATCTAAACTTTGGTGGCTTGTTGGTAAAATAACATGCAAAATATGTTTTTAATCCCGAGTTCAAATTCAAACATGAAAAAGACTATTTAGATAAATAAGAATTTATGTCCGACAACAATTGACTTCGAATTTGGAGGATTAGTTGGGTCAAAAGTCTAATGAATCTCTCGATTATATAAAAATATTTTTTTCCGACATCGTTATAAAAAATATATAGGTCGAACAAGATGCTAGAGCCGCATAAAAAACATCACCCGCAAAAATCAAACGAACAGATGAAAAAATAGAGAGAAAGCCGCCAGTTCGGTGAGAGGTTTCGGGTTTGGTTTAATTACAACTAAACCGGAAATTAAAGACAGACCACATTGAAATACCAATAACTAAAAGCACACAAGTAAACCATTAATATAAAAGAGGCTGGTTGGGGATTGGTTTGTATGCTACTATCAATTTCGATTTCTTCTTATTACTGTGGATTTTTCATTTACAAAAAAAAAACTATTCTAAATATTATAATTATGTTCGTTTTAGTGAAAATCATCCATGCCATAATTTCGACCGTAAAGTCAACGATATGATCAGATCACATAAATCTCGTTTTACATTTCATTTTTGGTTCGGTTTTCTCACAATTGGTTACGTAAATGTTCCGAAATTCGTCGGACCAATTTCGCGCAGAGACAAATCTAGGACACGGACGAACAAAAACGTGTAATAATATATGTCTCTCTATTAAACTCTTTATAATATTTTTTTGAGTAACCGTCTATTTTGAACCAAGCACATATTAATTCTGAGATCGTTAGTAAATCATGTGATTAGAATTTGCATTTTTTTATTTAAAATTCAAAAAACTTGGAACGTAACAAACATTTCACGTTCTCATTCCATTCATTCCATCTCACTTCATCCGTTGATGTATCCAAAGTTGTATTTTATAATTTTTAATATTTAAACTGTTCATTTTCTATCATCCGTCTTTGTATGTATCATCACAAAAAGCACAACCACAATTTTTTTTTTATATTTCATATATATTTTTTTTGACGAATGGGTCAAAGTTGTTTTGAAGACCACAAGAAAAAAAAAAGATTGGTGTAAATAAAAGACATTGTTTTTAATGTACAACAACTTTGTCGAGAACGAAGACATGTGTTAGGGTTTGGTAACACGTGGCATTACATTTGTAAATTTCATCAAAAAAAAAATTCTGAAGTTTTTTTTTTTTGTGGTGGATGAGCTTTGGAGTTAGAGCTTTCTCACCAGACAAATCTCAGCCACCAAAGTTATATATGTACGGTTTTCTTATAACACGGCTTCTTTTGAAAAAATAATGAAAAGAATTTCTTTTTTTTTTTTTATAGATTGATTCTATTTAATTTATATTTTCTTAAGAAAATTGTAAAATTTGACGTGAACAAACAAATTAAGTTTACAAAAAAAAAAGATTGATGTATTCCTATTTTATAATGCAGTACAAACAAGATCTTTTCTAGACTTTTAAGCAATTAATTAATCATGTTAGTGCTGAAAACATTCACTCGACCACAACACACTATTTAGTGTGAATTCTGAAATATAAAATTAATTTCATTTGGATTTTTAGAGGAAATATCTGAATCGGATTGTTTCAAAAATCCAATATAGATTTTTCTAATACATACTAATATTCTTTTTAAAAAAAAGGTAAGATAATTATCAAAATAGTAAAATATGCGCACACAAAAATATTTACTTGTATTATCTCACCAATAAATATATAAATATAATTGCATATTCGTGTGGTCATCATCTTTTCGTCACAAAAGTATACGTTATGCAGCAAAGATATCAAACACACACCAAGAAACCCAAGATCCATCAAATTCCAACCATACATTTCCTCTACCTCACATTCCTTCACCATTACTTCATAAAATTAGTGAAAGATCCGATTCAAGAAGCTTATTTTTATTTTTTACTTTCTCTTATTTATAAGGGTCAGTGAGCTTCACACACTTGGACACGCTCAGAATTACACACAAGTTTGCTGCCTGTCTGTTCTTGGATTGATACATTCTCTCTCTCTCGTTCTCGATTTGCTTCAGACATCAATGGCGGGGAGTGGAGTGTTCGCGGAGATATTGGAGGGAGAAGTTTACAAGTACTACTCAGATGGAGAGTGGAGGACTTCTTCATCTGGCAAGAGCGTTGCGATCATCAACCCGACAACGAGGAAGACACAGTACAAGGTTCAAGGTATGAACTTGATGCGCTGTTTCCGAATTTCAGATGGGGTTTTCACCGATTGAACCTTCATCAGTTGAACTGGGCCAATCAAGTAATCAATCTTCTCTGTCATGAACAAATTCAACTTCTGTTCTTGATTCTGTCGCGTTTCTTGTGTTCTCGTGTGGAACAGCATGCACTCAAGAAGAGGTGAACAAGGTGATGGAGATAGCGAAATCGGCTCAGAAGAAATGGGCAAAGACTCCTCTGTGGAAAAGAGCAGAGCTTCTTCACAAGGCTGCTTCAATCCTCAAGGAGAACAAATCCCCCATAGCCGAATGCCTCGTCAAGGAGATTGCCAAACCAGCAAAAGATTCTGTCTCTGAGGTTGCAGATTCTTCGCTTTTGTCTTCGGAAAACTAGTCTTTCTTGACAGAATCTTAAATCTCAGAGTTCTTTCATCAAGGTTGTCAGGTCTGGAGATTTGATCTCCTACTGTGCTGAAGAGGGTGTCAGGATTTTAGGAGAAGGGAAGTTCCTGGTCTCTGATAGCTTCCCCGGTAACGACCGGACCAAGTACTGTCTTACTTCTAAGGTACGTTAGGGTTCGATTCTCTCTCTAGAAGCCAAATAAAGTTCAAATCTTTCCTATGCAGTTTCTTGTTCATATACGCATCAGTGGTTGAGGTTATGGTGAATATGTCAGACCCAAGAATGTATTTGCTTGATCCATGAACAATGCGTATGGATATGACCTACAGATTCCTCTAGGTGTGGTTTTAGCGATTCCGCCGTTCAATTATCCAGTAAATCTGGCCGTATCAAAGATCGGTCCCGCCCTTATCGCCGGAAACTCGCTCGTGCTCAAGCCCCCGACTCAAGTAATTTTAGCTTGGATCCCAAGAAATTTTTACTTTCCTTCATAATGCTTGCATTCTGTGCATTAATGTGGAATATATTCCGTAATGTTGATTTGTGAAGGGAGCTGTTTCATGCCTTCATATGGTACATTGCTTTCACTTAGCCGGTTTCCCCAAAGGTCTCATCAGTTGCATCACCGGAAAAGGCTCTGAGATCGGCGACTTCCTCACTATGCATCCCGGTGTTAACTGCATTAGGTATTCGTTTTCGAGTACAAATAGAGGAAAAAATGTGTATAAATACGTACACCGAGAGCTAGAAAACAGTGGTTTCTGATATTACGAATGATCGTTTTCAGTTTCACCGGCGGCGATACGGGAATTTCCATCTCCAAGAAAGCCGGTATGATCCCTCTCCAGATGGAACTCGGAGGCAAAGACGCTTGCATCGTCTTGGAGGACGCAGATCTCGATCTCGTCGCTTCCAACATCATCAAAGGAGGATTCTCCTACAGGTATATACATATATATATATATCCTTACACAGCTTATCTTGATTCACGAACTGATCTGATTTTGGTCTGGAACAACAGTGGACAGAGATGCACGGCGGTCAAGGTTGTCCTGGTGATGGAACCGGTGGCTGATGCTCTGGTGGCGAAGGTGAATGCCAAAGTGGCAAAACTAATGGTGGGACCGCCCGAGGAAAACTGCGACATCACTCCCGTGGTATCGGAGTCGTCAGCCAATTTCATTGAAGGGCTTGTGATGGATGCCAGAGAAAAAGGAGCAACCTTTTGCCAAGAGTACAAAAGAGAAGGCAATCTCATCTGGCCATTGCTCTTGGACAACGTCAGACCCGACATGAGGATCGCTTGGGAAGAACCCTTTGGTCCTGTCTTGCCTGTTCTAAGGATCAACTCCGTCGAAGAAGGCATTCATCACTGCAACGCCAGTAACTTCGGCCTCCAGGTACCGACTTTATCGATATGAATTCCAAATTATATATATATAAGCACAATATTCTTGCCAAACCATTGTTTCAAGAACTGGAGTTCTTAGGAACCAGACAGTTTCTTGAACTTGAACCAAGTCGAATTTGTTTCAAGTCGAATTTGTATGATTCAGTAACCGGTATCTGTTAAATTTCGTTGGCGAATCAGTTAAAGGTATCATAGTTTTATACACAAATCCATACATGATATCTACAAGGATACTATTGTGAATATGTATTAGGGTTTCACCTAACCCAGACAACCAGTTTTGCTATAATATCAGCCTATGATGTTCTTTGGTTTGTGAATATACCGCAATTGGGTCCGGTTAAGTACGCCTGGTTTTCACTAAACCGAACCGATCCAAACCATTATTTCCAACAAGTTGTGGTATTATAGATTCAACATTGATGTGAAAATGCAGGGATGTGTGTTCACAAAGGACATCAACAAAGCGATACTGATAAGCGACGCCATGGAGACAGGCACGGTTCAGATAAACTCGGCGCCTGCTCGTGGCCCCGACCACTTCCCTTTCCAGGTCAGATCATATTCAGGACAACACAAACTCGGGACGCTTCACTTACCGAGATGTCTTTGTGTGTTTAACAAGTTAGGGTTTTTTTCAAAACAGGGGCTGAAGGACAGTGGGATTGGATCTCAAGGGGTGACAAACAGCATTAACTTGATGACCAAAGTGAAGTCTACTGTCATCAACTTGCCTTCACCTTCTTACACCATGGGTTAGTTTTTCACTTCCCCTTGTTTCTCCGGTTTAGACGGATACCGGTTTAATCATCGTCGGTTATTAGAACCTATATCCGGTTTGATGGACGATATAAGTTTGGTATGGTGTTCCTAGATCTTCGTGAGTTTGTAATGAATCAGAATTTCTTAGTTTTTATGGGGTGAAAGAGTTTATATATATATATATATATATAT